AACTTCTTTTGCTATCTTGCTACAGCAAAAAGAAGCATCTCTGTTAGTGTCTACAAGCATTCTGAATTTTTTATGAATGAAAAAGAACACATTCAATTTATGACTATTTCCATCACTACACTGTCCGACAGAAAAACTTGCTTTTATTGATGAATGCCTCAAAGAACATTCTCAAGGCCAGTTATAAGCTCAACCATGTGGGAGAGAAAAAAGCAGGTCTCTGACAAATTACCATGTCAGAACAGATAAAGCAGCTTATGCCTGCAGTAGTCTGATGACTGATGTTAACACTGGATGGAACCCAGCATGGATTAGCCTTAGTCCGCATTAAGTGGCTGTTCCTGTGCTGGCAGAAATGTAAGCAGTAGTTGATCTCTAAACAGCATTTTGCATCAAAAGATGAAACTACCAAACAGAAGAAAAATGTCAAAAAACTATTTTAAACTGCAACATAAGCTTCAGGAGTCAACTTACTCCAAGCTGCAAGTCTGCAACTCAAGTTACATACCTTGGAATGGTCAGCCATGGCATGAATTCTGGTGCAAAATTAACTGTTTCTGGCCAGAGATGTGGATTTTTTGGTGCCATTTTATTTTTAAAGGTGACTGTTCTCAACCCTGGCATTAGCTCAGCCAAAATGCACCTGCCTGTACTACAGTTAAGGAAGTGACAATATGTTTGGAAACATACTAGGAGTCTTCAAAAGGTATTTTCAGCTTAAAGGTACATTCCATACAATACTCACTTTTCTCTTCTGGTTTTCTCTAACTTGTCTTTCAAAATCATGATCTCCTTCTTGAGGGCAAGCTGCTGGCTCTCTGCATCCCGCAGTTCCTTCTTCAGACTTTTTATTTCATTAGCATGCATGATTTCCCGTTTAGATAGTTCCTCTTCATAGAAAACACTTTTCTTCTCCAGGTCTGCCTTTAGTTTAGTGATCTCTTGCTGGTGTTCTATACTGCTTACTCCAGGTGAGCGACCAACCTGTTTTTGCTAAAATAAACAGCCCTGAGTTAGTACACAAGGATGCTGAAAATGATGCTTAATAACAACTCAGTGTTCTTAAGTATATGTTTAGAAAATATCCCATTACAGACTTGAGTTAAACACACTTATCCCAATGTTCTTGAAAATCTGTTTGATCTTAAATCTGAACTGTACTCTTTATCAGTTTGTGATTTAAATGCAGTAATAGTTTTCAATCCATTGAAAATTTGATCATCTCCTTAAACATCTCTGGCTTCATTCTGACTCTCCTTACATGCAGTCAGGAGGTGACCACAGAATTAGAGGATTTTTACGTTCCCACTCACACCACTGACAGCAACAAGCTCGAGTGACTTTGAGGAATAAGGACTATGATATACAGACAGCACATTTTAAAGCACAGGTAAGTAGTGGAAAAGCTATACTAAGACAAGCAGAGGCTTAACTGAAGGCTAAAATCTAGCTACAGAAACACTATAAGGATTGCATCAGTCGGGAGGGAAACCTGACCTATTTTACTTAAACTGACCATTTACATCAGAGTGGATTAATAGGAAAAACAAGCTTTAAACAATAAGAGTAATTACTTCACTTCTCGTAGCTGCATAGCTCTCTTAGTGAGGTCTTCTGGCATGTCAATAGTCTTTACACACTGCTTCAGGATACATACACATTTGCACCAAATGCTGCACTCACTAAACTCAATGTCCTGCCATAACATAGAGGAGGAGCAAGATCAGGTTCAAAATGAGATACTGGCATGATATGCACTGAAATCCAAGTATGGAAATACTTTTGTATGTAAACATATGTATAGCTTGCTTTAGAACTTCTTCTATTTTCTTAAATATGTAATTAAAGGTAGTCTAAGGAAAGGAAATTACTTAATAAAAAACACTTTGTCTTGAGAAAGTGCAGGTAACTGGAAAACTTCCTTCCTTACAGTGACTGTCTTGCAACTTTGGGAGGATTGAAGATACCTTGTTAATTATACCTTCATTCTCACCATGAGATATTAAAAACCTCTCAGTCACCCTTAATTAAACATAGCTTTGGGTAATTTTCTTTTGCTGATCTATGAATAGACTTTAAGAGCTAAATGTCATTGTGGAACATCCAGATGAGCTGTGTTTCTAGGAGAAAGTTGAGCCTTGCTCTTAGTATCAGCAGAACACTGCAGAACCCCCTAAATGTATGAGCCAGATTGTGCTGCTACCACATTGTTTTCTGTAACTCATCAAAACAACGATCTGTTTTGATCCCAGAGTAAAATCCTGCGCTTGGGATGCACAACGTTGAACTGGAGAAAGAAGATGCCATCCTAACAGGAGATGGTTTGGAGAAGGAAAGAATTAAAAAATAAATATTAAAAAAAAAGAAAAAAAGAAAGAAAACAAAAGAAAAAAGACAAAGTATAGAAATTTTCTTTCATGCACACGTAGTTAACTACTGACCTTGTTTGTTACTGCCCAGCTTACTGAGTTGCCTACACATATATGGCAATGGAGCACCTAAGTTTAGGCTGTGCACCACTGTCTGTCAGGTATTTAAAATGTTTTAGTGGTGTTTCACATTTTTCTCCACAATGAAAAGACAGTATTAAGTCAATAAGGCAGATGGTGCAGTAGAAGAAAAAGCTGGATGGCATTGTACAGTGGCTTATACAGAACTAGAGTAATAGAATAAACAGAGAATGCATTTTGAATAGGTGTAAGCCCAAATTCCACAGAGGTATTTTCATACATGCCTATTTCAAGTGGACAAATGGTGCAAGTGAGACACACTGTATCTCCTGCTACACAGGTAGGTAGATGCTGTTGAATTTAGTCCAGGATGCAGTTTGCCCTCTTGGCTGCCAGGGCACACTGCTGATTCCTACGGGGCCTGATCTGTTTTGTAAATCCAAATACATGACGCGCCCTGGCTCTCCTTTGTCCACTGACTTACTGACAACTTCATAGAATCCCAGCAGGGCAGTGTTGCAGGAATTGGCTGGACAGAAGGCACAGTGCCTTCTTTCCAATAGGCTCTGCTTCATTCGTGAGCTCACTGACCTTATTCCTGACTACAGGAATATTCCTCTAGCCCTTTCCTAAGGAAGTTGAATTCACTCCTCTGCAGTTTCCAGGACCTTCCCCATGAAGATCCAGTGGCACAGTGGGCCATCGTAAGAGGGTGCACATCTTGGCCAGCAGTTCTCTTGCTCCTCACCCGAACCCCTTCAGAACCCCCTTGGTGAGGCCACCAGTCCAGGTGACCTCACATCTGACTCACCTGCCAGCTCTAACGCTTCTAGCACATCATCCTCAGAGCAACCCAGCTCACCTGACCAACCTGCTGCAGAGCACGCGCGCTGTGTGGCCATCTCCCCTGCTTCAGCAATACAGCTGGTCACACCAAAAAGTCATTGAGTGTTTCTGCCACAGCTCTATCAACTCAGAGGTTACTTTCTCATCCCTAGCAACAAGCAGCCCCATGAGTTCCCTAAGGTGGCTTTCTGGTTTTGATTTAAAGAACTTCCCACAATCACTCTGAGCATTCTTTGTGAAGTACTCATGGAAATCTTTTTATTTAGCCCTCAAGATCCTGTTTACACTTAACCTGCCATCATTTATGGACTTGTCTATTCTCATTTAGAGAAACTTCCCTTTTTTCATTAAATACTGACCTTTTCTCTATGACAGGGTCCTGAGCTTAACTATGGACAACAACCCCACATGATCCAAAATGTGCTTACTGTACTGCAAAATATTACTAAGAAAGCTACAAGTCCCCTTTCCTCTTCTGATAAACTTGGCCTGGTGTTATAAATCAGCCTATCACTTATTATCAACAGATCTCCAATAAATTCTTCTCACCTCCAACTGTCATACAAACTCTCTGCTGATGGTGAAGATACATGAAAGGAGAAGAAATACATCCTAATTTTCAGATAACCATCTGAATTCACAGCAGTAGAAGCTTCATAAATCCAAACTTCATACTGAATGGATTTCCTTATTTTCATTTAACAAAGGAAGGCAAAATAAAAGAATGCAAAATAACCCCCAAATTCTCTGTGCACTGACTCAAGGTTGACAAATGGCCCACAGAATTCTAATTAAAAAAACATGGTTATTCATGTAAATTAACACCAGAACTGGCTTAATCTGACATTTTGCACAGGAAGTACAGCATTATCCTACTGAATGAACACTGGGAACGGGATCTTGCTGTAAATGAACAGCAGTGCTCATGTGAAAATTAGGAACTTCCTCATTAAATTTTTGAGAAAGTCTGCTTCTTCAGACCACCATATAAAATGCTAAATCACACAATAAAGTAAGTAACAGTTAACAATCTTGGCTTACTTAAATTCCTGCTCCTAAAAACACATACACATGTGAGCAATCTCATCAATACGAAGTCTTTGCACTCAATGCTGCTCTTGTGCAAAAATGTCTCAACTGAGAGGCAGAATACACTAAAACTTTTCCTTTACAGTGACATCAATTGACATCTTTTGAGGAGGAAACACCACCTTTCTTCCTTTCTTTTGACTGACACACTGAAGAACACCACAGTACACCACAAAAGCTATACAGCAACCTGCTTAGGCTGCAGGTCTATCTTCAAATACTCAACCATCCTATACTATAACCAAACAAACAAAACCCCCCAAACAAACGGTTTTAACAGCTAAACAAAGTAATAATGGAAACAAACTGGTAAGAAATCATCAAATATTAAGAAATAGTTCAGTGAGCAATGAACACACTGGCCTAAAACGTGCATGAGGCAAATGTTCATTTTTCTGGACAGTAAAGCCACGCATGCTTGCACTAATATTCAGCATCAACTGGAGACACAGACTGACAACACCCTTTTGTCCTACATCTGAAAGCAATCAGACAGATTCAAGTCCTACTTGACTAGTAAGTTTGCAGGTGTTAATATCAAAACAGACTAACCTTTAGCCCTTCTACTTCGCTTTCCAACTGTTTAGAGTACTGTTCACTCCTCTCTCGCAATTTCCTGTCTTTGGATGCCTCAGCAGCTGCGGCTTCAGCTTGGACTTCCAGCTACAAAAGTACATACGTTTTTAATAGGTAGGATTCTTTTTCCCCCCTAAAAAAAAATTCTATTGATGATTTTCAATACAAGAGGTAAATCTCCAGCACTGAACTGAAGACTTCAAATTCTTAGCAAACAAAGTCTGTACTGTTTGAAACAACAAAGAATTAAAGACTTACAGTTAACATAGAAATTACTTTGTCAGAAAAGCCTTACATGTAACTACTATTTCATAGATTCTAAACAGTCTTCTCACCACTTACTTCTTTTTTAAGTCTCTCTGTTCTGCGTAACTCTTGCCTTAAACTTTCTACTTTTTGCATCACCACTTCCATTTCTTCCTCCTTATCTCGGAGCTGGCGGGCAAGCTTTTGTTTTTGGGAGTGTAAGTCTGTCAGCCGCTCGTTCATCTCTGAGAACTCCTGCATTGCCAATTTCCGCTGGCTGTGTGCATCTTTCAGCTCTTTGGCTTGGGATTTTAATCTGTCACTAGACTCTGCCAGTTCCTACAGTTTAAGAAAAGAATGAAGTAATAAACCTAGAAAGCTGTAAGGCCAACTCTGTGTATGGATGAGCATCTAACACCTTCTCCAGAGTGAAAAGAAACTACATATTCATTTCTTTTCATGAATGCATCTATGACACAGATTGTATGCCTCTATATATAAGGAAAGAGGCCAGGATTTACTCTATTAATGCTAGCAAAACTGCATAAACATAAACCAAGTTGGAATTTACTCCACTATTACAGGTTAAACACAAAGGCTTTCAAGCATTTGCATTAAAATATAAAAATACCCTGCTTTCTTAATTAAAAAATACCATTAGCATAGTTTTTTCAAGAACAACTTAAATGAATAAAAATAGTACTTATCACAGCTGCTAAATAATTAAACAAGGTTTTTGCATTAACTGAATGGCAAAGTCTGCTCTATGAAAATTTCTACTGCAGAAGCTTTTGAAAACTGACCTGCAATGGTCAGTACACTTTCTACAGACTGTACCTTAATATCAAATATTACAGAAAGCTTCAGGCAACAAAACTCCAGTGATTAACAGCAATAGATGAATATCATTCTTTTAAAAGAACCCACATGAAGTAACAGGGCTAGTATTGTGATCACTCTACAGCACAATACCTTCACAAAGCTTGCTGTGTCCTAGATCTGCGCTGCTACACTATGAATGAGGGACCACAACAATTTAAATGGCTTAATGATGGTTCAGCCAAATGGGGGCAGAACAAAGAAGCAAGGAAAAGCCAGTCTGAGGACGAAAAGAAGAGCAGCAGGAAGAATTAATATTTGGCACTGTTGTCATCTATACAAATTTAAAAGCACTTTCTCAGGTTGTTAAAAAGAGGTCCTAATCACTCCAAGTTGTTTTAGAAGAGAGATGGTCTTTCTTCAAGAAACTGGCAGCTTTCCTGGTTTTAAGAGCCTTAAGGGTCAAAAGACAGTGTTAAAAACAGCTGGCACATCAATATTGAGTGTGGACTCTAAAATACTGCGTCAGTAGAATCACGATGAGAAACAGGCTAGTGTATTTCACACCTGATTACAGGTTTATTTAACCATGAATACAAAAAGAGCCATGAAAGACAGTATAAGTAGGAAAACAAGGAGACATAGAAGAAGAAATAAAACCCAGTATTCTTTAACTGTAGTTATTTCAAATTATTTTTTCAGTCTTAAGGTTTGGGTAATTTTTCACATCTCTCTTCCAGAAACACTTCTGTGATACAGCCTTAATACCATATTCTTGACATTTTTCGCTGCTGCAGTCTCACCCATACTTCAGATTAAATAGGTCATCTGGAATAGTTCTTCTCTACTCTGTCTTCTAACTGCTATCGTTATCACCTTCATCTGAAGCTGTAAAACCTTTGCAGCCACCACCCAATTTAGATCATGGGGTTCTTCACTATCTGGAAGCAGCCACCGAGGACCACCCAGCAGTCATACGTACAGCATGTTAAATAATGTCCTTGTCTTCAAAATAGAGGCAGAAAGCAAAGTAGGTCACACTACACATTTGTTATCTGCTCATTAATTTTACAGTTGAACATTATTTCAAGCAAAATGAACAAAAATAAAATAGTCTTTAGGGTTTACAAGAGTTGCTGACAAATTGCTTTTACCTTATTAAGATCTTCTCTCTCTTGCTTCAGCGTTCTGACCTGTTTCTCAAAAGCCTTTATTTGTCTGGAAGCATCATCCAACTCCCGCCTTGCAGTGCTGGCCTCCTCTAGTTGCTGTTCTAGCTGACCAGAATCTAGAAAAAGCAGCAGACTTCTAAATACCTTAAGGAAAAAAGATCATTATTCTAGAATACCATAGTCTATAGCTCCTTAAAGACCCCTTCTGTATTTGTTCTGGCTTCACTAAATAATGCAGTTCTTATCTGGTTTAGAATAGGGAGTAGGTTGTTTCAACTGCCATTATCTGTTTTTAATGTAACAGAATAAAAGGTCACAACTTCTTGCAAAATGACACAGAAAATGACAACAATTTTTCTTTTCACTTTATAATAATCATGCACATATACATAATTCTGTAACGTATGCTTTAACATGACCTATACATTTGACTTTTATGCACTGTGATGTAATATATAATGCATCTTTTATTACACTGTAATTACAAACAGTCTCCCTCCTCCCTCCACATTCCCCCAGAAGGAAAACAGTAAAAATAATGGGTCACTCAAGAGCTGGCAAGTGTTCTCCTGTTGATACACTTAAAATGAACTTCAGATGATTTTACTTATTTCTAGTGTGACAAATAGTTGTGTTTATGTGATCTGCTTTATTACATCTATAAATACAGGCAAACTATTACAGTCAGTTTCTCACCAAGTGTCAGTTACAGGACAGTGCATTTCTACATGACAGCAACATAATGTCTCATAAATATGCTCAAATGCTACAACATCAAAAGTTGAAATGGCAACAATATGGCAATAGAAAATTTCTAGCTAGTGGGTGTGTTTTTTCCTCTCTCAGTCCTTCACTGAAAACCAAGAATTTAAAGCAAGATAAAGATGAAAGTAGGTTAATTCCAAGTTCTATGAAACCACTGGACGTTTTGCCTTTGATTTCAGGTGTGTCAGTTCTTCGGACCATATGTTTTTACCCCCAGAACAGGAACTCACCTAAGCTCTTAATAAGAGCCTTTTCCTACATTTTCATAAGCTCAGCCCTAAGAGACTGGCTCTTGGAGAAATCAAATATAAAACCACAGACGTTCTGAAAAGCTGTAATTTGTGAAACACAAGAATTTCATAAGCAAACGAGTACCATTAGCTTATACCCAGACAAATATTCACTATTGTTTTAATTCATTGACTCTTGTTTAAAAATTTAAAAGAATGCATTTAAATAAGAGACATAGCTCAAAGCCAGAAATTATTAACACCCTTTCTTATGTAGCCTACTCTGAAGTCACCAGCAAAAAGAAAGTTTATATATGGCTCTGCTGCGCCAAGATAAATCTCTCTTCCGTGCATGAACTACTTTGTTCCACTGCTCTGTTTTCTTCTTCCATCGTTGCCCTTTACATATTTGGCAATATTAAAGATTCCTCAAAGTTTTCTCCTATGTAACTTAGCGAACAAAAATTACAACTTTGACCTCAGAAATTGAAAGCAGATGCGAGCTTGTCATTTCCTGGAAAACCAGATAGACAAGAAAAATGTGTTTTTCTAACGTCCCCCTGGTGACACTCCTGAATTTGACAGGATTTTGTGTTCATTTTTTATTACCTTTTTAAGCAGGTGTTTACTCTTACAGCTCCACAAGAGGCAGTAGGACAGGCTAAAGAGTATAACCAAATGCTAGTTGTGACATATGTGTAGTAAATGGTAATTTTCCATCTCATCACCCTAGTTATTGCTAACATTTTAGCTAATATATGCAAACACTCACTGTGGGATGTTATTACATTACATTTAATTGTCCAAGAGATGCATCCAAAGCATAAAATTCAGCTCTGCACCTGGAGTGAACCTTCTTAAAAGTTCATCATATCTGGATTTGGAAATTCAGATATTTTAAAGGCCACCCAGAAAACTTGGGAGCTAGCTCCCTTAAATTTGGAAGCATTCAGACATGACCCTCATTTGGTTTGTGCTTATATTCTGTCATTAACTTAGTTTTAAAATCTATCTCACAAAAATAAAAACCAGTAAAAGCAAGCAAACCAGAACATTCTCTTTTGCCAATTCGATAAAATTATCTTATATTAGCTACAACTCAAGACACAAATTGAGAGTGTTCTAACTAGTAGAAGTTAGAAGACTGGACCAGACAAGGCATTCAAGTATATACTGGACAAGTTCTGTGATGGCTGAGGATGGATTAGACAACTCTACATCTTCCTCATTTGACCACATTATTTGTTTCCAACCCCCAAAACAAAAGCACATATTGTATCTATCAATAAATACACAAATACATATGTGGCAGGAAGCAGAAAACTCTTAATGGATATTTAAGGGAAAAACCTCAGTATTAACCACCTTCACCAGACATTGACAACTTTAAATCTCGAAAGAGATATAGGGCGTACTGGGGAATGTTACCACACTTTTTTTCCCGCCTTCCATTACCAAAGGAAGGGAGCAATACATTCAACACACAATAGTCAAGAATAAAAAAAATCATTTAAAGCTGATCCTGATGCTTTTCTGTGAGTGGCTGGTCTTGTAGATGTTGCTGTTCAGTGGTCCCAAGGAGCCAAAACCAGACGGCTGCAGCACAGGGGTTTCTGATCCTGTTATCTTTCTCCTCCTTACAGCAGCAAGCGGAAGGACATGTAGCTGGAGAGAAACTTCACAAAAACCTTTGTGCTGGCATAGTGCCAACATCACTCAAACCAGAGTGATCCTCCCTGAGCTAGTTCAGTCCTGTTCACATCCAAAAATAATGCTTATGGTACAACACAAAACTGCTGCATCATGCCAGAGCAGCTGTCCAACTGTACATTTATAACAGACTTCCAGACTACACAACTTTAACAGCATATAATCTATGTGCTGCAGTCTGCAGTTCGTATGTAGCATGCTTCTGCCCCATAATGGAGCAGCGGAGTCTAAACACACCAACTAAAATGTCTGGAAGTTAAGTTATTCTTTCTGTGGGTGTTGCTGCTGGCATTTCTGACACTTCCAGGAACTGAATGAAGTCTTTTCACAAATACAAACGAGAACAAATCCTTTTTGCGGTTTCCTCCAACCTTCCTCTCTTTGAAGCTACCTCTGCTCTCAAGATCCTATTTTGAAGAAACCATTAGGGAGCAGAACAGCAGAAGTCCTATGCTATGAATCACTGCGAGAGACAATTCCCTTTAACTTCATTCAGAGCATCACACAAAGATTACTGAATATTAGTAGCAAGCCTTTAAAGTAGGTTATAAAGATTAGTAGCTAAACAGACAGCAAATTGGTTCACTAATAGCTATATACAACCTGGTGGAGCAATAAAAGCTCTCCCTCTGGAAGTTCTTAAAACACGAATTGCCAGACTCTGGGGACAGTAAGGCTGGAAAAAGATGGATTTGGATAAATCAGATTTCTTTGAATCTTTCCTTAAGTGTTTCCAGTAGCCTCTGTAAAGACAGAGATTACTGGGCTAACTAGATCTTTGCTTTTTGACTAGTTTGGGAGTTCTAAAGAAAGGCAGTATGACATTAATTAAAGCAATTGAGCTCTTTGTCCGCACAGATTTCAAAAACACTTCTCAAACTTTAAGTACTGAGATACTTGATGACAAATTTTTAGTTATCAAATCTTTGTGAGCTCTCAGAAGCAAAGGAATTAAATTGAAAGGAAATAAATGTTCAGGTTTGTAAGAAATGAGAGCTCATTGACAGCAGAGTGGAGAGGTGGTTCTTCTCCCACTCATCTCCCCTTCCTTGTATGCTCCTACTGTCCACATTGTGCTAATCTATCAGATCACAAGTTGATTAAATTCTCTTTATCTAGATAGTTTTTTCATTGTTTAATTGAGTGAATTAAAGTCAAGAGAGCCTGGTTCATGCAGAGAGAGAGGAGAGCTCACACAGCTGTGAGCAGGACCCACTCTGGTGGCAAAGTTTTTGTTTGATCAGTTCTGCTGTGCATGGAACTGCAGACTTGGTGTCCTCTCTCATGAAAAACACCCTTCATTACTCCCTGCTACTTGGAAAACTCAGTATCACTGTAGTTTCATGCACACAGCCCACCTCCCAGATAGCCCAAGCTTTTCTAAAAGTACTGTTCCAAAAAAATACTCAGAAAACCACATCTGCAGCTTCAACAAGCTTTTACTCCACATCCATAGAATCATAGAATCATAGAATGGTTTGGGTTGGAAAGGACCTTAAGATCATCTAGTTCCAACCACCCTGCCATGAGCAGGGACACCACACACTAAACTATGTTGCCCAAGGCTCTGTCCACTTTGGCCTTCAACACTGCCAGGGTTGGAGCATTCACAACTTCCTTGGGCAACCTATTCCAGTGCCTCACCACCCTCACTGTGAAGAACTTCTTCCTTAGATCTAATCTAAACTTCCCCTGTTTAAGTTTAAACCCATTCCCCCTGGTCCTACCACTACAGTCCCTAACGAAGAGTCCCCCCCCCAGCATCCAGTTACAATGCAGTCAGCAACAGTATACTACAAACCTCTGTGCTTTCAAAGAAAGTATCAAAATTGTGATCACATCTCACAGATTTGGCCCATCCAAGGAAAATGCAACAGAAAATGAGATATTGAAAAATATCAATTGATGCTTAAATAATTATAAAACATCCTTCTATCAAACACTTCTAAGACTATTAAAACTGGTAGGCTGATGAAATCTTCACTCCTCACATTTACTCATAAGCAAGATACAACACTTTCCTTCCTTCCACTTTACTACACATGTATCTGCACACTCCTGCAGTACACAATGCAGGAGGAATGAGGGGAAAAAACAACCCAAACCAAACTACTACTATGGAAATTGGTCATGGTTTCACAGATTCTCAGGTAGAGCCTGATTCACATCCATGTAAATTAGCAACACCACAACGTAAAACTTGAGGAATTTTACCTCTTGTAACAGCAGCACAAGCCACTGAAATCTTCCTTCTCCCTTGCAACTGGAATTACTGAAGTACTGAGTATGAAGCTCAACTTGTAGAAAATGTTGAGCTACCAATGAAGAGTGAAGGGTAAAATAAGACGTAAAAATAGACTGCAAGACTCTTAGAAAGCAAAGTAGAATGAGTATTACATTAGGAGAAGTCTTGCCATAATATTGTTTCTGTTGCATTTTTTACATTATTATGTATAACATACCTGTTACCTGTTTCTTCAACTTTTCAATTTCTTCTTTTAAACTTTTAATTTCTAGATCTTTGCTTGCTGTTATTGGGCCATCCACTGTTGAGTACTGCAGAGCCTGGACTGTCTGGGTTGACTCTAGAAAAAGATGGAAGTGGGGTAAAAATCACATGCCTGACATGTGACGGGTTCAAAAAGACATTACTACTAAACTAGGATATGTCAAACGACCCTCCACTGAAGAGTCTACAATTCATAACTTCCAATTACTAAGTGCCAATTCTTCAGTAACTGTCAGCTGGACAAACTAAGTTCTTACAGGTTTTTAAGAATGAAACCTTTATGCGAGACTACTGAAGGCACTGTGTGAACAATTATCACGTTATCAGAAGTTGTATACATGGGATATTTCAGGCATAAAGAGTAAGAAAAGTTTAATTTGTCAATGCAAATAATAAAGAGAATTCTTTTCTGCTAGAAAGCATTCCAGGAGTTTGGGTTTTTTTTTCCCCCACAGTATAAACTTACAAAGTTCATACAAAGTACCTTACAAAGCTGCAAGTCAAAAAAGTGATTGAACGGATTCTTTTAGTGACTGTACCTTGCAGTTTTCTACTAAGTTCAAGCTTTTCCTGTTCTAGGCGTCTTATTCTCCTCTCATAAGCTTCTGTTGCTAAACTATCCTCCAAAGTTCTTTGAATGCTGGCATCAAGATCCATAGAGGGTGGTCCAGCTGTCAGTCTTAGACAGCTGCGGTCTGAAAGCACACTGGGGGGAAAAAATGAAACAGTATTGGATTTTACAACAGGTTGTGTTTAAAATAATTCTTAAAAATCAACCAATAAATAGTTTGGATTGTTAATGACTATGTAATTTATTACACAGTCAAATACCACGTTGCTAGTATGTGCACATTAACATTTTAACTCCTTTTTACCTAGCATGATTATCTCCTCAATGCATTTTTTGTTACAGAAAAGTGCACGAACTCCTGAGTAAAAATGATCACTATGGACAGTCTACATCAGCCAGGTAGCAAAAAGCAACAATGGTGATAGTAAGATTATAATAACAGTTTATTTTAAAATAATTAAACAAGTTTCCTCACATACTTTAAAGACAACAATCACAACAAATGGTGTGAAGTCATCACATGACAACCAGGGCACATACATACCAGAAATGCTGTGGCCCTGACTCTGTGGATACCCATGTACACATACTAGTACTTATGTAAATAATGCTTTTGAAGTCTCCAGGACATGGCACATAACCAGTATTAAGCACATGTGTTTGCAGAAACATAGGCCTGGTTTTTCAATGTCTGTAAACATTTATTTATTTACTCTCACAAATGATCAAGGAACATACATGGACTTCCTTGGTACTGTTTAATTTAGCAGTAGAGATGAACATGACAAATAACACTTTTTACCAAGTATCAATAAAAGTTGTCAAAGGACTAGAAATAAAAAAATTTTTAAAGTTTCATAAGCTAAGTTCTCTCTAGGTCCACACATCTGGTTACATATGGTTGTATGTATGTATTTGTTACATATCTGGTTGTATGGCTGTAACTTTGCTATGTGCAGTTAACTTCATACACTGTCTGAAAACCACCTTTCTCAACAAAACTCCTCTGAACACAGGTGCTGCCCTTTAAATTCATGTCAGTCTTATCTGCAGAGAGCTCATTCTTTTGGACAGACAGCATTTTAGATTACAGCCCAGTCATTTCCTCAATAAACCACATTCTTTGGTATCTGTTCGGTATTTGTTGGTTTCAGAGACAGAAACTTACGATATTTTGTAACTAGCCTTCAGACAATTTTGGAACTCTCAACTTACCAGCTACTTGTATATGTGAAACCCACAAATGGTAAATGATGGCCAGAAAATGCTGTGTGTGATGGTGGAGGCATTGTTTCCTAGAAAAATAATAGGAGAGTTGAGTAAGTAAAACCCTACCAGACTTGACTTGAAAGAAAAAGATTGGTGAGATTAACCATATGTGAAGAGCTAGTGACAGTATCAGTCTAACTCTATTCACAGTCACCCTTATCTACCACTCAAATATGAAATGGCATCACCTAAATCTATTTATAAGAGCACGCAATATACAAAAATACAGCATGCTGGCACAAAAATGCTTTCTAATTAAACAGGCTATTGTTGGAGAAAAGCAGAATAGTACACATATTAAAAGCCAATTTATTCCTTGTTTCCAAGAAGCTCCTAGCACAGAACACCAACTTTTCTTCCCTCCTATATTCCTCTCTGCCATTTCATCAGCAGGGCTTCCTGCCTGTAGAATTATCAAGCCCACTTCTGAGTGGGCTATCTCTATTTGGAGAGAACAACAGTCAGACATTCACTAGAAAGGAGTAATACAACCAGGTTTTCTAATCCTATTAACCCTCTGACCATTTCTTCCTTCATTGACCCTTTTCCTGCCAGACAAAAAACTACAAACCCAGACAAATCTCAGAGCTTTTCCTGAGGCTAAAATAAACCTGTTGCTATCTTAATCAAACCATTGTAAGTTCTAATAGCCTTAAATATCCTGTTGCAACTTTCCTGCTTAACCGCAAGATGCAAGACTTACGTTGCTATGCTAGAGATGGCCTTAAGTGTCATCAAAAGAAACTTCCTCAGATGATTATGATATTGAAAGTGCTAAAAGGTTCTACCTGTCAGAAAAGGCAACATAATGATTTCTTTCTAAACCCAAATGAAAAAGGAACAAAGGAACCAGTTGTACTTCAAACCCCTCCCCCATAAAACTCAGCAGAATACAAGTGCATACAAAAGAAATCCCAAATTACCTTTTTGGTGGTGGCATCAGCTGTGTTATATCACAACCTTGACCTTTTAGCAGCCAAAAATCTTCACATCAAAAAAAGTTCCCACAATAAAAAGCAACACCAGTGACATGGCTGGATTGTGTTAAGTACAGTAAGTCTACATTGTTGGGCATTTTGGAAACTAAGGAGAAGACCAAGCTACAAAGCCTTAACTTCCCATTAATTGATAATAAAAATATCCCTTATTACAGACTGTGGTTAGGAAAGGTAAAATTCTTCTCCTGTATATTTTGCTTTCACATTTCATAGATTCAAGTTTCAAAATCATCTTTATGAATAACTTAAAAAAGGCTAAGTTCATAATTGTGTGATTTTAACATCCCACAGGAAGATTTTCAGTTGTAACACAGGTAAACTGAATGTTGGTTCTAAAATATGGGTTGGAGCAACCTGGTTTAGTGGAAGGTGTCCCTGCCTGCAGCAGGGGGTTGGAACTGGATGAGCTTTAAGGTCCCTTCCAACCCAAACCATTCTATGGCTCTATGATATTGTATCTATTGGTAGCAATGCAAGAGTCTGTAAAAGAACTTGTTCCTTTGGCAGAGACCAAAAATGTATTTCCTGCTACTTGTGTGAATTCAACTGTATAGCCACAGTGACAAAATGACGACTGAATCCAAGTCTATCATGGCTATCAGAAAGGCTACTAAACCAAACAGTTAAAAGCTAAAAACCAGCAGAACTCATGCTGCCTGAACAACAGTTTTGCCCCTTGTGTTTATGTGAACTTTTGAAACACATATTAAATTCATTCAGTATTAAATTCATTGTTTAAATTCATTTTTCCATGGGACCATAGTCTCATTCAAAGTTCAGGCAGTACAATAACAATCGTGGCTTTTCAGTATCGCCTTTTCTCTTCAGCATTGGACGCATTATTGCTGCACGCCATTCACATCTTGCAAAGAATTTAAAACAAACAAGATCTAAAAGCCTCATGGGCTTATCTATCGTGCTGACTTCTGGAACAGTAATGCAAGTATGTGAAACTTCCTCCTAAGATATGTGTGAACGATGGAGGGGAAAACACCTCCAAGTTACATATAAGGAATTTGAGGCAAAGCAATATTAAATCCAATGTCTACCAATTGAAACAAAAATGTAGAATACCCTCAGACATGCAGTGCCTTAGGCTATTTTTTTCAGAGGTTCTGAGATTGTAGGTGTGAAAAGAAATGGTAAAAACATAACCTCCTCATATTAAAACAGAACAAAAAGCAACCTTCAGATGTTTCAAATTAGGAAGCTGAAAAAGAACCTCTACAAACTAGCATCCATCTCAGCGGCATTGATTTGCACCCCCAAATGTCTAAAGCAATTTAAGAACTGGACTGAGTTTTCACAGCTGAGAGTGTAATAACTCATCACAGGAGCATTCTTTCTTCACCTGCAGCTCCTTGCTTTTTCACAATGGTGAAGTATTCACACTGCTTTTGAAAGCCTCAGATGGGAGATGAGGCTCTCAAAAGGAACACTCGTGCACTAGGAACACTAGTTACTGCAAGTAACAGATGTATGTGTTAATTAAGTATGTGCAAATTTACAACGAATTTACCAAAGTGAAGTTATCCTTACATGTATGTATTTGGAGGATCAGCCTCCAAACTGTGAATGTATTGCTCCCCACAATTCTTCAAAAGAGAACACAGTGAACAAAAGCAGTGCAATAAACTACCATTTACGTGTATATTGTTATAAAGTATATTACAAAAGCAAAGTTTTCTGAATGTTAATTCTATACTTACAGAGTTTTTTAAGCAATCATCATCCACATCAAAGTTTGATGTATCAGTGGGGCTGCTGACTTCTGGGATGTAAGGTGCCTCACAGTTTCTAATGTTGTCCCAGTCAATCCCAGCAAAGAATGGGTGGTTCTTAAAGTCTTCTATCCCATTTTGTCCAAGTCGATGCTCTCTGCTACAAATGAGCCTCCGGATGAGGTCCTTTGCACTTTCAGAGACATCTGTCACTTGGGCAGGAAACTGAAACCTCTCCTTAAAGATTAAAATAAGAGAAGATAGTTTATTACCAAGAAAAAGTTGGGAAATTCACCCTTCTTAGTGAAAATCATTATGTATAAAAAGAAACGTGCAAAAACTCTGGATCTTACATATACGCAATAAGGTTTCCAGGAAAAAGACTTCTCCAAAGTATAGAAACTATTGAAATGTTTTTGTCTCCTAGTTTTTATCCTTTATTTAAATTTCCCTTATACTGTTGAATTCTACTGCTACCTCCATGTGGAAGAGTATTTAAGAATCTTCTGCCAACCAATGGATGTGCCAGAAGGAAGTAACACAAAAGGAGTGATGTAAAGTAGCCAAGATTTACTCCATAGAGTGAACTAACAGCCATGTTTCCAAATCCAGATTTTCAGTTTTGAACTGCTTTATCCTAAAGCAAAGCCATCTGCAATCCATAACCATAAACTTACTACATAGAAACATACTTTTTATTCTACATTTATGAACATTAACCTTATTAGTACATAAAAAAATGGATTTTAAAATAAGCTGTCAAATTACCCTACTACTTATTAAAAATCAGCTTAGAGACAGACAGAAAGAGAAAGTGCACTAACTTTGTGGTTCATTATTTTCCCATAGGTCTCCACCAAGGACTCAGCATAAAAGGGCGTTTCTCCATAAAGCATTTCATACATGCAAACGCCCAGGGACCACCAGTCACACTCGGGCCCATACTTCCCTTTTCCATCTTCCATGGCCTGCAAGATTTCTGGAGAGATGTAGTCTGGAGTTCCGACTGCCACTGAAGATTGGACCTGTAGAAGTTACATTTATGGGACTAAAATCTGCTTCCATCATTACAGACACTGGCACTGTGCATGCATATATAGGCTTAGCTGAGTGTTCAGGCTATAACAATAACAACTAAACACAAACAAAGGCTTCTGAATACGGAATACTTAAGCATCCAAGGCACTACGTTATTAGGCATCCCAATAATATACTTTTGCTAAACTCTTCCAAATATTTAGTAACAGAGAAAGAACAAAACTGTCAATTCTTAGGCTTAGAACTGTTAAGTAATTATAGATTAGGTAATCACATATATTAACTCAAATACTTTGTAACACTCTAGGACATGATTAACATACTGGAATTACATTCTAGTCACACCTACTATATACTGTGATGAGACACAGAAATAAGATGACATGCTAATAGCATATTTAAATAGCATATTTCTATTTAAATAGCATGTCATCTTATTCCTGTATCTCATCCTGCTCATACTAAAGCTTACATTTTCGATAAAGATTAGAGCTTAGAGCTCAAAACAGAGAGATTCATCAGCAAGCACCTAGTCAGTACTGATAGTGCAGCTTCTCTTTACTTATTCATGAGTTGACTATATGCACCTAAAAAGCTTTTAATACACAGTAAATCCAAGCAGTGTGCAATTGTATTTTGAACCAAGGTTAGTTATATACCGATACAATTACAATTTCATTTCCTTTTCTCCTTCCTAGCACACATTTTAGTGTCTAGCATAAGACTGAAGAAAAGGTACTTAGAAATATATCATTCTTTCCCATTTACCGTTCCATCTTCCATGAGTTTCAGGCAAGAACCAAAATCTGCTAATCGAATATGTCCGTTCATATCCATCAAGATGTTGTCTGGTTTAATATCCCTGCAATTAAAACACATTTCGGAATTAGTACAAAGAGGTATTGTACAACATATAGTGCAACCATTAGCTCTGTGGCACTCTTAATGTTGCAAACCAGCAACAGATCAGTAGCCAGAACACAATCACTCTTTTGGTGAAATTTGCACCAGAGACATTTCATGACAGAGGCTACAGATTAAATCACATAATGTTAATTTTAGTAAGAATTGTGCAGTCAAATTCATCTCTCACAGGCAGAAAGGAGAACCATACTTGCTCTTAACTTTTGTACATAAATCTTTTAAATCATCTGAACAATTTTAGTGAAGTGAGATGTGCACGCTTATACTGGAGCTGGAAAACAATCTCTAAGTTTACTACAGAACAAAGGTCAACGAAACCCTAACAGAATCCACACATATGTAAACGTAGTGTCTTTCATCAACATTTTTCTCTCACGTACACCTCAGCTCGCTATGTTTGTCTGCCTGTACTGCTGCTGAAAGGACCAGCAAAGCCATTGCACACGCTGCTGTAGCTCTGCTCAGCCAAATTCTGCAGCTGTCTCATTTGGGTCATGACACACTTGGAAGATTCTTTCTATGTAGGCAACATAATAAATACTCCTTATTTTGCAAATTTAACTCTTCTGGGTTTTTTTTTTTGTCTCATGTTTTATAGATACCTGAGTATACTGAAGTACAGACAAACTACATGCCCCCAGTGTGCAGCTGACCAGGATGAAAGCATCTACACTCCCTAAGTTACCAGAGGAACATTCGTTGTCCAACTTGCAAACCAGGTTCAAATGCTTGAACTCCTTTTCATTAGAAAGAGCCATTAAGCTACATTTTTATAAATTCTAGTATGACATTACTACATCAAGTCTTATTCCATCCTCATCTATCCTATTCACAAGGTACATTGTGACTGTATGAATAAAGTACTATAAACTCTCAGTGAAGAGCCATTTATAAGACAGAGGAAAAAATGTCCTAAACCAAACACAAAACAAGGGAAGCCCTGACCTTGCTCCATTCCCCTAACAACTTATAATGGAATGTCATCAATTGCTTTGCAGACAAATTCCAAAACATTCACAAGTGAAGATATTCACATTGTACATGAGAAGAATTTCCATTTTGTTGTTTGGGGTTTTTCTTTTGCTTGCTTTGTTTTTTTTAAATAAAAACTGAGTTATAAACAATGTTTACAGAGAAGTTACAGTGGAAAACAAAATAGCACCACACCTTGAACAACATTACAGAAGCAATGGCACAAAGGTGTCACCCTGTTATGGACTCAGCGACAGTATGGTAACAGTATGGTGTCTGAAGACAAGTACTGCGTTTGTGTTCCTCAAAGACAAGTAGAGGCCCAGGCTGGAAACAAATTTCAGCTGCATTCCAAATATACAGAACCATTTACAACATAAAAACACTACTTTAGAAAGCATACATTCGCATCTCCCAACTGAACATAAAGACAGTTCTTTACAAAGTAATCCCAACAATTAACTGAGCTCACTCGCTAAATAACGTTCTTCCACTTCATTTTTGCTGACACTGAATATGCCAAAAACCTGCAACCTCCAGACTGAGATAGTTTTATTTATTTTACACTCGCCCACTAAAAACATTCCTTAAGCATGTTTCTAAATAAAAACAAACACATGCTATTGAGGCCTCTGGAATTACAACTTCAGTTTAAAACACTTTACAAAAACATGCACCTAAAATCAAGTTCCTCGTAGAAGCTGGACCTAGTTCAAGCTAAACAAAAACATGAGTCACCCTTGCAGCTCCATTTATCCATGGTCTACCTTTTAATATATTCCCAAGAGAAATAACAGTAATCATCATCATCACCACACCAATCTCCCCTATTTGATCTCACAAAACAGCAGAAAACATGAAAAATCTCACTCTGTTGTTGACACTGTACAAAACCAAACCTGCAAACAACACTGAAAGCACTTAGAGGAATAAGTATTTTTCACAAATGAAGTTCATAAGGCTCAGTAATAACTGCATGAGAACAAATTTTATAGTTAAGGAAAAAAAGAGACAGACTTAACACATACAAATTATTCTCAGCTCTGGTAACAGAAGGTATGGGTTAATGAAATGTTCTGAATTCAGCTGAACTGCATCAGTAGGAGATGGTTTGAAAGACAAGAATTGCTGGCACCTGCAGAGCCAAGACCACCACAAGCACAGGGAAGGTTAAGAAACCTTTGAGCCCCACAGGGGAGCAAGGAGAGGGACTGATTATTGCCTGTGTAGCTGAAGAGTTCAAAGGTGGTGATTACGGAGGAAAAAAAATGTCATAAACCCCACACCTCTAGTGAGGCTGCAGTTGTTAGATTCCATCCAAAATATGAGGTTTGTTCCAGGTCTTTGTTTTGAATGAATTTGGTGGTGACTCTCCTTTAGGGATCAGAACTGATTTATCTCCTGTTTACCTTCTCTGGCTTATCCCAGTTTCTTCACTGCATGAAATTAGGTCCCTCTTCTCATACTTCCATCTCAGCTGCAGTTTTATTCCTATCATTGCCCACCTCCTAGACTCACCTCAAAAGTTGAGATGGCCAACTCTCCATGGCCTATCAAACCCAAGCCTCCTCCCCTTGTATTTCATTCTTTCACTCACAGTTTCTTCACTCCCAAGTTCTAGTCCCTCTGCATGTCAACATTTAAATAACCTTTTTTTCCTCCTAGCTCGATTCTCACTGGTCAGCATTTCCATCAGCTTTTTTGTAGCATTGCCACCTGAGGATATGTACTGAGCAAAGACAGCTGTTCTGCGTCTTTCTGAATGAGCGATACACCAGCACCAAAGGAGCTACAAGTCTGGACCAAATAAACTTCTTTAAAAACAAGTATGTCCATTTAAACCATGACTCCAACACAGGGTACAGGAGTGACATCTATTTTTGCTGAGCTGCACTGGCCTTGACTGTAAGAGCAAATCGGTTCTACACAGCAGCTTGGGTAAAGTGATGCTCTTTGCATTTGTTTTTTCAGTCTTTCATTACTTGCTTTTGTTCACCTGGAGAATGCAATAGGAATAAACAGTCTGTGTGATACTGGAACATTCTTTTGCACAGAAAGTGAGTGTGGAGGCTTACAAAAAATATCTGGAAAATCTTTAATGAATCATTTTTCATAAGGCTTCTTGTTCCTCAGACTGGCATGTTTACCCCAGAGACTTCACTCACCTCTCTTTAAAACAGTTTACTTTCTTAAGCCATAATTAAAACCCAAACATTTTACATACTAACTGTGTTAACATAAACAACACTGAAATAGGACTACAGCAGATATCTGGATTATTGCCATTCAGTTTGATTTTTATGTTCATGACCCAGAGTAGAATTTCATTTGTTCAGTAAGACTCAAGAAAAAGTATTCCCTCTGAGACATGCTAAATCCATAGCACATTCCAGCCATAGAACAAACTGAAAAGAATTTTCAATACATGTGAATATATTCTTTTTCCCCTTGATTAGTTTCTGATCCTAAACAAAACTTCAGGAATCGGAGGCCTTGCATATTGAAATTTGAACTAGACAACCTATTTAAGTTCCTTCCAACTTGAATTACCTGATCATCTTAAAGCATACCTGTTCCTGAGGTTTAGCTATGTCATTCTTTGAATCACTGAATCAATGTTTTTCAGTTATTTGCAAGACCACATGGAGTTCATCAGGTCTACAGCACAGAAAGCAGCAGATTCCGTAAGAATCTTCAGTTAATTCCATTTCATGGACAGCCTCATAAAGGCAGGGTATCAGACAAACATAAAGGAAAAAAATAAATCAAAACCATCAAAAATAAAGTGACATTAAATGCAAGAACTGTAACAGAATGATAAAGCATCAGTCGTGTCAGACACTACCAAAGATTATGCCAGTGGACCAACTCCCAGGCCCGGAGCTTCAAGTTTACATGTAAGTTTAAGTGGCATTGAAGAGTTTATGACCAGTAGGGACCTCTCTTCTTGGTAACTGCAATTATGATGCAGAATGTACTCATTTTGGCTATTCATTTGTAGTGTGTTTATCCTTTTTTTCCAAAACAAAAAGGATCAGGCAGAAATGGAGGAAAAGGCGAGTCCTCCCTGACTACTATCAACAAAAGGTGGCCAGATGGTGCAAGGGGGTACCTCTCAATATTTCCTCATTGAAATTAACATTTTGGATGCTAATGGACTGTCCTCACTTACACAGCTGAGGTCTTTAAAAAGAACTGAAATGATAATAAAGGGGATTAGGTGGTTCTAAATTCAACTGCAATGTGAGCTGAGGCTGAGGAAAGAAATGGACCTGTCTGAAAGTAAATGAGCAATTTGACAGCTGAGGTACCAGTTTGGTTTAGCCCGTTGGATAAGAAAGGGATAATCCGGAGAACAAATCTTTATTTCTAATGTTAGCATTAGAAAAACACAGAAATAAATTGATTTTCCTGACACACATCCCAAGACATGCTGTCCTTGACCAATATGAAACAAAGCGAATAGCTTACATTAAATGATTTTTCTGTGAAATCTTGACATGAACAGTAGTTTTTGAATGCTACCAATGCAAATTAAGATATCAGCAGATGAGAAAGGTGCAACTGCTGGCACAGAGAAACTGATCCAGACAACTCATTACTAACTGAAGATTTCATAGCACATTATTTTCTCATTATACATGCAAGAGCATTCCCCAAAAGTATAAATCAAAACGTTAAAAGCAGACATCAATGATTCTAATTACCGACTCTTACAACAAGAAATGGGTTCCTTTGCCAAATTACCTACTCTGAAAAAAAAAATATAAGCAAGATCTTACTGCCAGAATGCCTGGACTTTTTAATCCAAAACTCCTTCAGAACACAGGATTATCCTTAGTCAAGACAGAAGTTTGGCAAACTGTTTACTTCACTCCCTTCTATTGTTTCAGGCTTTCCTACCACACTCCTTCTCATGTAGAAATGCTACATCCATGATAAAAAATGAAGACATCTGATTTTGGCAACCCTCCAATAAAGAAGAAAATTTGGTGCCTGTGAAATTATTATTAAGGTATTCAGCAATGCCATACTGACAGCCCATCCCAGATCCACAGAGTGAAACAGCTGGTGAACTTCCATCAGGAATGCTCCTCAATGGATGCATTTTTTTCCGCAGTCAAACCTATGGACATTGATGTCCAGCAGCTTATTGCTATTTTCCATTACAATGTACTGGGTTGCATCAAAGTCAAAGTTGCCATATTCTGCCAACTACAGTTTATCTGAGTTCTAGTGAGCAAAACTAGAAATAGGCTCCATCTGGCAGAAAGAGCGATGTGCACTGAGCCAAATTAGATTTGGATGGTCGACAGCTATTCTTTAGTAATCCCAACAAGATAGGCTGCACAAGATAGCAGCATGAGAAAACTGGGATATGTTGTACCTCATTAACCGTGCCTCTTATCAAGACTCTACTGTGCCTTCTCCTAAACAGACACTCCTCCACTTCTGGGTGGAATCCAAAAAGTGAGTATTTCAATTGACTTCAAAATCATTTAAATCACTTTGATCACAACCTTATTATTTACATAGCACCCAAACAGTTGCATCATGTTTGTATATTAAACAAAACCTGCTTCATGTAAAGCTGACAAACTACAGCTTGCAACTGAAAAAGACATAGCAGCCTTGCAAATAGCCTCGAAGTCAATAGGAGCAGTAAAAAACTAAACACTTTTGAGTTAAAGCCTTACCAAGCAAAGCAACTACATGAACAAAAAAGAACCCTATAAACAACTTTATTTTAAAATTACAATGAGGAGGCTCAACTTTTTTTTTCCTTAAACAGTACCTTGATACTGTAAAACTCCCTTGTTTTCTCATTAACTCTTCATAATAAATCACTTTGTGTGTGCTGTTCCAGAAACACACACTTAATTCACCACTACTAAAAGAATCTTGCTCCTCTCAGGAGCAGGAGATTCATCTAAATCTCTTAAAGTCAGTGGACAGACTCCCACCAATTACTAGGAAATATCAACAATTTTATATTTACACTGTGCAATTTTATATTTACATTGTTACACATCCTAAGAGAGTTTTATTCTTGGAAATATTACAAAACTAAATGAAGGACAATACAGAAATCAAGGCTTCATGTACTAAATGCAACACCTGTGCTACATCACATGCAGAATCGGGTATTGCATCCAAACTTACTTTCAGACTACAGATTCTGCCAAAGAGTACTTTTTTAATCCCTAATCCAGACTCAGAGAGGTAACTTCTGTGTCCCCTGAAAATTAGGTAATTATATTCCTCTCTTACTACAAAGAACCTGCACCACAGCCTTGAAGTATACAATGCAAAAAAGACGAAGGTGAATTGTTATCCACACTGAGTGTGGGAACACAAGGAGTAAGGAATGTAAATCCCAATGAAAGATCCTTACGTGAGACAGTAGAAAAACACTTTCATAACAACAACATTAGGACACTGCAACAAACTGCTTAGGGAAATTTCACCATCTCCATCACTGTGTTTTTACAGAACTGGTTAGACAAACATCTGTCAAGATGGTTTAGTTACAGTTTGATCTTGCCTTGCAGCAGTAGAAAAGTATGAACTGACCTCTCTAAGTCCTCTCCCAGTCTTTCTCTCTACAATCTTTAATTTCTGCCACTCACACAAGTATTCTGGACACAACACAGTGTGGATACCTTATGGTATCCAATGTTCTTTATGAATTTCAAATACTAATAAAGGAAATAATAACAAACAAAAGGGAATGAGTATATCAGCCAACACATATACATCTAGAGTTTGTTCAGGCACCAATACTCATTCCTGAACACTTGAACTGAATGCAGTTACTGGCTTATAAGCATATGCTGCTCCACCACATCCTATTACAATGACCTAGAATTAATTTACCTTCAAAAAATGTCTCCCCATGGCCTCTGTGCATATGTATTTGCTTTCCAATAATGGATCTCTCATGTAGGTTCAAAAACAAGGACAATTATTTTTCAAAGCTGCTTATATCCAATTTTTTTCCCTTTCTTTAAAGAAAATAAGGAGTGACATAAAATCCTTTTTGATAAGTGCTTGGCAGCTACATATCCCTTGAAGCTATTGTCTTCCATCTAAGATGCTCATCAACCCACACCTTTGGAGAAAACCCTCACATCCAGGACAGGCCCCTCATGCAGTATCTTGAAGAGATGTCAGGGCAAAGCCACTTGTGATATCTAAGGATTATTTCTATTGTCTTGTCAGTTTTACAGACTAAAACCACGAATACACGTTGTTTCATTTTAAATGTAGAACCTCACGATGTTGATTTACAGATGTCATTTTAAATACCCATGAAGTAAAACTAGAAGACTTGTAGACATGATCAGAAAGACAATTCCTAATGGCAAACAACTGTGGACATAATGGAAATGGAAGATCCAATGCATGCTGAAACTGGTAAAAGTTCAAGTAAAACTCATTCCTGAGTTATTCATATCAGACCAAAAAAAATTTGTAGGGACTCTAAGATAAAATTAGGCACACAGAGAATTGAAAATTTGAATATTTAATAATGCACTGATCAGAA